AACTACCTCAAGTAAACACAGTAATACATCTGTCATTTTCTATTCTCACTCTTCAACGAATTCTTCAATAAGTGATTCAGAATTTGTGACTAATGTGCCACGTTTGAAAATTGCACATTATTCTCATCATTTGAAGATATTAAAATAACACCTAACAATTCTATTCATGTAGTTTTGTAGAAGGCTAAAGCAAAAAGATCCCTTGTCAGCCTCCTGCCACTAATGACTTAGCTTTTACTCCACAGCTTTATTTACTTTTCCTCATTTGTGCAGTGCAATTTCAAGCAAAGCTGGTTAAACGAAAGGTTTCCGGGGCAAAACGTGACATAAGAAGTTGCTTCTTGAAAGGGAGATCAAGTGACGTTATATTTTGGTAACTTTTAGCTCTTTAAGAAAAAAAGTGTATTTAGTAATTCTGTTAAGGCTATCATTGCTTAGAGAACAGAATAATTTTATGGATTTATTTATTTAAGATGTCCATGTAGTATGCATTTTTTATTAGGGTGAATTTTTTTCTGGGCAACAAATCCATAAAACTTCAACAGACGACTATAAGCTTGCACTTAAGCATAGATATGAATGCTTAGAATGTTGAATAGTCAAGTTTTAGCACACATTTAGGATAAATATCCCAAAATGCGGTCGGTTTTATCTGTGGGATTCGATGTCCTGAGGCCCTAGAACGGCCAGCTAATGAGTGCAGAGAGTGCAAATGGAAGACGCCCCAGGAAGCTCCAAACCCCAGCGTCCTTACCTCCTTCACGGGCCACTGCTTTGCTGCTGCTTTGTCACTGGGTGACGCGGGGCTTCTGCACCGTGTTTGGTCACAGAGCCACGAAGGAGGCTTACTGGGGGCTTTTCCTCCCTAGGTCAGCAAAATGCCACTGATGTACTTACACCAGCGAAATAACCCAAAGGCATCACTGAGAAGGCCGGCGGCATGCAAAACCGGGACACTCATTTCATTACTGAAAAGTGCAGTGGGGCTCCCTGGCATAGTTCATGCCTCCAAACGCGGTAGAATTGAAAAGCTGGTGAGTGATTTGTGCGCAGGTACCTGGGGCCGGGAAGGGAATTTGTGCACTCAGAGTTTGTTTGCAGTCATGTTTCTTGGTTCCATTTCTCTGAAAGTGCCTCTTGTGGAGAAATCTGAATCCGAGGAGAACAGGCAATATCCTGGTACATGACCGCAGAGGAAGCCGCGCTGACTCCGGCCTCGGTGTGGGCGTCGCAGGGACAGGAAGTGGGATGATGGCTTGCATACCATTGCAATTACAGCGCGCACAAGTGGGCCAGTGTATCCACAGGCACGATCCTTTTAGGAAATTCCACTAAAAGAAACAGGGCTTCCTGCACTGAGAGCAGGGGCACACTCTGCGTGGTAATTAAGTCTGCTTGTGATAACGGGCGGCTCTCAAGGACCGCGGGGGTTTCACGTGTTCAGCCCTCACCCTGGCTGCCCTTTTCCCTGAGTCAGATGCGGCTGCTCACAGAAGGAACCTGAGGAAGCTTCTCACAACCGCTGCACCCCGTGGAAGTGGGGTGCAGCATACAGAGATAGGCCACGTTTATTAGACAGTTTAGCGAATTGCCAGAGCTTTTGATACAATGTCAGCAGACAATTTCTTTTCTAACTATAAGCGATAGATAGTATTACCCTCCTGTAGCAGGAAATAGGGTGAAACTCCATCTCATTTCCAAAGCTATAGCATTTCCTTTAAAGCGCGTAGTGTCCTGATGTTGCCCAAGACACAAGCAGCGTCAGAACAGCCTCCTTCTACAGAGAAGTCGGCGTGGGCAGGCCACACCTCTGCTCTGGTGGGTGCCTCACACCCGCCCTCACCAGGTATGGTCCTCTCACAGTCTAAATGTCAACAAATCGTCACCACAGTGGAAAATCATTTGTTTCTTAACTACGAGTTTTCACAGAAGGAAATTTCCCAATTGTCACGAAGCTGAGATTGGAATGAAAGTGTAGAACTGTATCACCTTGAGAGCATTTATGTTGCACAAGAAAATAAAAACTAGTAATTTTTTTCCACATCAAACCCATATAAGTATACTTTCTGAGATCAGTTTGTTCTAACTTTAAATTAGAATTGAGACTAAAGAGAATTTTTTTCTCTGTATGAGAAACCCAAAATACAAGTAAAGAAGAAAACAGGAGATAGGTAATGGTAGGAAATAGGAGCTCTTCTGCAAGTGGGAGAGGGATCAGGACGTGGAGAGAGAGAGCGGGAGGGCAGACATAGTTAGATGTGTCGTGTACACGTGCCGACCTCTTACAGTGACGGAACCGCTCTGTACTGCAAATGGAACTAAGAGAAAACAAAGATTAAAAATAATTTAAAAAGCTCTTTTATGTTAATGTGGAAAAAAAAATGCACCCTATTCTGTTAAGTTCCCTTATCTAAAAGCACTACCCATCCCCAGTCTTTCCTGCTAAAACTGATCTTAGAACTACATTGAAACTGTTACACACATGTAAAATACAGTATTCACGGAAGTGGTAAAGTCTGTTGCTATTTCTATCAAAGTGAAATTATATCATGATGTAACTCTAAACAATTATTTTTCTAGTTTTTAACAGCAGGAAGAAATTAGAAAGTCTAAAGAAGTTGAACTGATTCTTCTGAAAGCACTAACTCCAGCAAAGTAATGTAAGGCGTGCACCAGAATTAACTGAACGGCTCCAAAGACTCCGGGAAAGCGTCTCAGAGACGAAGTGTTACTCCTGGCATGAGGGACGACCATGCAGTCTACACTGGTGCTTCAGAGCTCATTTACTGCGCGCCGGCGTGTGTAAACACTGTGTCTCCAGCTTTGTTCCCTCGGCTCTATCTCGGCCCCGTCTGCAGCCTTGCCTGGTTTCCACAGCCTGTCAGATGTACACTTCGCGCTAATTTGGAAAAACCCGTTCTCACACCCAGTGCTGAGAGACTGATACTGAATTCTCCAACGAACCACACATTTCAGGAGATGAAGAACAGAGCCGTGGACAATGACTGTGTTTTCCCAGAGTGTAAATTCTTCAGACTCAGCTGTCAACATGGAAATGCATGACATAAAAGCAGCTTTCACTGGATGATGTTTTCCTCTGAAGCCATAAAAATGAAATGGATACTATACTCTCCTTTAAGTTATCCCATCTCCTAATGAGATTTTATTCCTAGAGGACAGTGAAAGCTCCTATGCCCCTTTGAGTTCTAAGTACATCAAAGTTGCCTTTTTGCTGTATAAAAAACAAACATTTTTTCTCCCACACAAATATTTCTGCTTGAGAGTAGACCCAATATAGTGTTAAAAGAAGACTTTTCTTGCTAATTACCTTACACACAGCCTTAATAACTGACAGTGGGCTCTCTGAAATCGTTCTTCGGGTCTTTGGAGTGGGACTCAGCCTTCTGTTTAACTGTGCATCTCTTCCTTTCCACGATGAGGCTCCCGTGCCTCAGGGTGCCCGAGCCCGACTCGAGCTCCTCTGTCCCTGTGCGGTGGGATGTGACCGGACGCCCAGTGCCCTGTGACCCCTGCAGCCGTGAAGAACTGTAGGCGTAGCCTGATTTAAAGCAGCCATGTGGAACAAAAGCCAGGCCCAGAACAATCTTGAGGGCAGGGAACAAGGGCATCTAAGAGAAGCAGTTACTCTGAGAGTGGGAGAGTGAGCCGTGGCAAACACTGCAGGAGATTGATTTTAAAAAGCTACACGGGGCCTGGAGATCTTGTGAAGGGGCAGAGGGTCCTCCAGTGGGGGGAAAGGAGGGCTGGGAATAGCAAGGGTGGAAAAGAACTGGGGAGTCCAGAACTAGCCAGGCTCTGGACTTGAGCATATAGGAACACTTGGCTTCTCACTGTCAGCAGCAGAAGTGTTCCCTGGGACAGGGGAGCAGGACCGAAGGCCAGAGGAAGAAAGTAGGGGCCGAGAAAGAAACGTAAAAGGGAGAACTTATGAAAGAGTACCAATGTGCTTAAGAACACAGGCAGGAAGGTCAGATGAGCACAGTAAGAGTTATGTCTTTGTCCCTAGCACACAAAACACAATAGGCAGTCAGAAATGCTGATAAAAGATGACGGAGACACTGGCTGAGGCAGTCTGAGGTCTGCGCTATGTTTAGCATTGTCACTTGGAACAGCGCACTGCTCAGAACAAACACACAGCTCAGGCTCCGTGCGCCCTCACTGAGCACTAGGCTTGCGGTATCTTTCTCAGTCGACCACTAAAAGAGGGAAGCGATGGAAATAGTTTTGGGGTTCTTGGAAGTAAAGGTAGGAACAATAAATGTGGCAGAATTTCAGGGTGAGAGAACCAATCGCACTTCTGAGACAAAAGGTGAACTGTAAACTGCAGCTTTGTGCTCACTGATAAAGTTGAGCAACCAAAGCAAAGGTCAGAGATGGGGGCTGGGGATTGGGCAGCCTGACTTGATGAGACTCATGGCAGATTTAAATACTGATGATGAAGTAATAATAAAACCCATGACATCATTACAGACACCACTAGAATAATCACTGTAGTATGTGTGAGTGAATGATTAAAAAAATAAACCAACCTCTAGATAGTCTATGTTAGGAGCACTGAGTTAAAATTCAGAACGAAACTATTATTTTTAGAGCATACACATTTTGCATATTTTCTGCTATGCTAAACTTTTATACACCATAAAAAATGGTGCACACTGAGGAGGGGGTCAGGGCTGCCCTGTGAGGTCCGTCTGCCCACCCCCCCAGGGGCGACTGTCGGTCAAGGGCTTAGCTTTTTCCATTGCTTCCCTTCTGTAGCTCAGCCCAGATCTCTTTCTTCCCATAGTGAAGGCCTGAGAACCATCACATTTGGCACAAGACAAATATTTCCTGAGTTTTTAATCTCCCTTTTTGACCAACTTTCTCACACCCATGGTTACGAAGTTTCCACCGTCAACAAGAGCACAGCAAACCTCCAGCCCTGCTGGTGTGCTAAGGGCGTGCTTCCCAGCTCCGTGCGGTCCTTGCCACCAACCTACCATTGAGCCAGCGAGAGTCATGCTGCTCCGTCCTGATGGGGTGGTGGTGCCCGAGGGTCCGGAAGATGGCGAAGTCTCTCCCCATGAAGTCCGCAGCGGTGCCCGCGTACAGCTCTCCATCTGGAGGGTGACAGAAGAACACCACACGATAGCACCTAAATCAAGGAGGCAAGAGCAACCAAGAAAGCTCACAAACGCTCCTTGTTACAGTCATACTGCAACAAGGGCAGAAACTCTCTCTGTATCATTGTAGGAAGCTAAATGTACTCTGCTCTATGTCCTTATGAAAGGGAATTTTTCATCAAATCATCAGTTGTGCTGTTCTTGATCATTCATGTCTCTCACACATCTGAGTAAAATACCACCTTACAAACATTGGTAAAGCATGAAATTTTAATCTTTTTCACTCTGACCAGTGAGAAACTTACAAAATGCAAAATATAAACTACATTATTTCCTATTCTATTTGTAGACTATGATGCCTCTAATAACCTTATTTAGACCCGTGGGGTATCACTGCAAAATCTTGCTTATACCTTCTTTTAATGCTGATGAAACCTTTTAGATACTTTTAATCTAGTGGGATCTGAATTAACGAGATCTTCCTCTGATTTAGAAAGAACCAGTGTTTTCCTTGCCAGTTCTTTCCAGGTATTTATTTTTAATGTTTCTAGTGAGAGAAGTGTTGTGACTTGGCTCGAGCTATTCTACAGCCCCCAGTAGGCCCACCGCGGTCTGCAAATGCAACAGAGATGCATTTCAGTTGGGCAAACCAAGGCCATAATTAGTGCAGTTCAGAATTCCCCTGATTTTTGCCCTGTCGGTCCTTAAACCGAATAAACTCTCTGGCTAACCTGGAGGGTGGAGGAATCACAACCAGAAAGGAAGGAACAGAAGCGAAGGAAATAAGGCAGGAGGAAGAGCAGTTATACACCCTGAACACCACTCTGTGTGGTGAGGCGGGCACCCTGGCGGGACACTGTCACCTTATCTCACTTAGCTGTCAACAGACCTACAATTAAAGTGACGCCATCCCTGTTTCACGGTCCAAGGAATCCAGGCGCTCAGCCAAGGCCTTGGTCAGTCAAGGTGCGTCCAAACCAGGCCTGGTTCACCGAGCTGCACCGCACTTCAACATGCCAAGGCTTGTAAAAGTTACGTTTTCTGGCCTTGAAACAGGGAGGACCGCATATTATGTCTTCCAGATAACCATAATTGCCTGCCTATGTACAGTGAGTTACTGTATTTGCAAAGCAAAACACCAAAAATGGTAATCATTTCTTCAAGTAACCTACAACAACTCTTACAGCAAACCTGAGTCGTGTTCTGTTGATATTTGCATGGATTAAGGTTTTACATTCTTTGATTTGCAAAATATTTAGAAATTCAGAGTGCATAGATAAATGATAACTTAAACTTTTGTGTAACATCATCTGCTTCCCTGTCTTTCCTGTCAGGTAAATGGGAGAATTATCTGTGAACCTTCAAGTAAAACTGCCTTTTGGAAGACCTTAGCAATCTGATGCCTTCTATAATATTCTCTGTTTTTAGGCTCAGTTTTCCTTCACAAAGAAGAGCTTTGCAATGTGAAGTAGATTTTCTCAGTTGTCCAAGCCACAGCCAGGTCTTTGGTAGAGACTCTGGGTCTCTGCTGGGTTTTTGGGGACTTCACCTTCCTAAACTCCCAGGGAAGTGGAGGACGAGAGAAGCATCAAGTCCAGGCAGCTGCTCAGCACTGCGCTTGTGCGGCAGACACCTTGTCTTGGAAAATGAGGTAAAAAGACTCCATTTGCATGGAATTGTAACCAAGATACACAATGTATTGATTAGAAAACACGGCAAAGATATGTCATCCTAAATCCGCACATCGTGGTACCTTTGGAAGCTGTGTTTTCTTCATTTAATTAAATGTCCAGTGTGCATCTGACTCAGTCTCATTAAAATGTAATGCAATAATATTTTACCTAACAGCTAAGAAGTAATCTTTTTAAAAACATAAAAATGCTAGGAATAAGCTACCTATTAATTTCAAAGTCTTTGAAATAATTATTAATTAATATTATGAATGATGGAGATAAAGCCTATTATCTCCATATTTTTAATCTATGTTTAATCTTTGTGACATTTTCATTAAGATTCACTTTTTATATTTTTACAGAGTTGATGCAGAGATGTGATGTACATTTTTAAACTTCAGGTGGTGTTTTTCTTCATCTGTGAATGAGATGTTAGTTTAAAATATTTTGGGACATGATGCTCACCTTAAGTATTTTCCTGTCGCAGCACCTGGAAGGATGCCTTGTGTCCTTCCTACCTGGGCAAACTAAAAGCTTTAGATTATTAGCTGAAGCTCATCACCTACTAAGCGTATTAAGTGATCACAGTGAAAAGTCAAATAGAGCAGTGCCCAGGTGAAGACCGAGCAGTTGTACGTCAGAGCACCACTTCACTATCGGACCGCCATTCCCAAACGGAGAACGAATCAGAAATGGTAATGAATACAGTGATTAACCATTCTGTCCTTTATTTTCATTACAGAAATCAAATTCATGATTTTAGCTTTTATTTCATATCCTCTATTCAGGAGGGAGCTGGAATAACAATAATAATAACAAAACCCTTATTTGGATATAGAAATGTGTTTCTTTCTCTTTCATTTGTCTGGCCTTACTAGAACTTTTTGTTTCATTCATTTTCATATGAAGATAGCAAAAACCAGTAAAATGCAAGCCAAGGCAGAGAGACTGATTTCCTCTTTTACAGAGATAGGATGATCATTCACACAAAATACAAGACATCGTCAGTAGAAGGAAGATTGACTCAGCTCATTACTGGAAAGTGGATTCAGCGTAAGAGTGGACACGTAAGCCAAAGGCAGCTTGCAGTTTAGGCACCAGCTGCCTCCAGGCACAGCCAGTCACCTCCCACCTGTATACAATTTTGGCAAGAGCCAAGGTGATTGTCTTGGCCAGGAGGGTGCAGAGTGCTAGGCCTTTACCGACACTTTCTCTTGTGTCCACATTCATGGTCAGTCACTGTTTCCTTGTCCTAGACCACAGAGCAGATTTCCTACAGAGATTTCTGCAGGGAATCTCATCAGGAATCATTGCCTCAGATAATGCATGACATCTTTGTTGATTTTTCCCAAAAATATAGGTTGTAAAACATACTACTTGTGCATTTCATGTTACATAAAAAATACGGTACTAACCCATAGTATGTGTCACTTCATATACTCCCACATGTCTACAATGTACTAAAGATGTACATCATTCTCTGGCTATCTGAAATGACCTGATTGGTATCTGATACTAAATGTATTTTCCTTCAATTGCTTTATTCTTGGAGAACAGATGTGCTTAACCAATCCTACTGCCCAACTTCTTTTGTAGTTTCTAGGATATTTATACAGTTATCAAATTATATGTTGATTCTTGAGTATAGTGTTAAATTGGCAATGTTCTGACCATAAATATGTCTTTTTGGAAATATAAAGTAGTATACTGGGGTAAAAGTTTTTCTACAATGATTCAAGTGGTATTATGATTGGGATTCACACTTTTGGCTTTAGAAATACTAGTGAAGGAAAACACAACATTTGCCCAACTTTCTCAAATTGGCAGTAGAATGCTATACTATTCTAGGAACTGTTATGTACATCAAAAGTGGTTGTTGATCTGTCCACCCTGATCTTTAAGAGCTGGTACATCAAAATTTTGTTCAGTATAACAAAGTCACATTGCCGTTTGATATCTTAAACATGGCAGACTGGACTAAGAGAAATTGGTCCTGACAGATCTAAATAAACATCTAGAATCTGTCAAAAGTGAAAACGGCTGTGTGAGTCAACTGTGAAGCTTCCAACTGTCATTAAAGCGCAGCATTCTTCCCTAGGAGTTGTGTGAATTGTATTCCATCAAGGCCAGGCTTCCTGAGAAGCTTGTGTTCAAAATCAAAGTTCATATGTACTCTAGGCTTTCTGCTCAGACCTCAAAATCAAGTAAAATGATGGCTTGTATCAGATTGCAATTCCTGAGAAGGGTGTGGGGAGGAGTAACAGAAGGTGGCCAGAAAACATTTCCTGATGAAGCTGCTGGTACAGGTGAAAGGGGGCCTGAACGCCAGTGAAATCAAACAAAGCTAGTGACCAAGCCATTATGCTGTTAACACCTTCAGTAAATTCTGCTCTCAGAGCAGCACAGTAATTAGAAACAGAAGGAAAGAAAGAAATTTATGTCCCCCCTCTTCTCTCTGTCTCTCTCTCTGCTCTGAGAGTGGAAAAAAATTGTACATTTTTATATTTATTGACCACCATTTCTGTACTTAAGATATGCAGGTTTTGTGACTTACATTATTCTTTTATAAATAACTTTTTTTGTCTTGAGCAAGGCAAATTTCCAGGTACAAACAAGGTATAAAATTAAAAATATAAAATTTATAAGGTGTCAGATCTGCTTCTCCTCCCCACAGGCAACCACTGCTACTAGCTTCTGTTCTTGTTAATTTGTTCCTACTTCACATATATTTCAGAAATAGGCACACACTCAAAATAGTAGTATATTATTACATTGTCTTGCTTAACCCTCACATCGAGCTTGTAGAATTAGCATGGTACACCATTATTTATATATAGATGAGAACTGAGGTTCAGAAAGGTTCAGATAATTTTCTCCATGATATTTAACTCATTTAGAGAGTTTCTTGTTGCTCTGACACTCCAGAAGAGCACTTCCTAACGTCAAATTGTGTTCCTTCCAGAGGCAAGGCAAAACTTCAGCTTGAAGATATAACCTTAGAAAGTCCTGGGCCTTTGAAATGGTTTTCAATATCTTTTAGTGATGGAATGTTTCTCAAGCATTACAGCTACATTGACTGGAAAAGATTTCAGTGCAGAAATATAATTCTTCTAAAGGTGAATATTTCTTTCACATCATGAAAACGTGAGTTGGTACTTAATTAGCGTGGAACACACCAGGTTTTATTCCTGGGCTGTGTTCGCACCTGGCATTTATTCTGAGTTGGGGAGCAACTGTTATCTTTAATAAAGAGAAGTTCGTAAAACTATTTGCAGGTGGCAGAAAACCAGAAATATTTCAAATGCAAATTCTGGAGCAATTTCTTATTGACAAAATTATCACTATCAAAGGAGATGAATGGTGAAACTAACTTTCCTTAGATGATCGGAAATACTGAGGGCATGTTATAGGTTTTGGGAACTTAATTCTTTGGACATGTGTCAGTCAAGGGGGAGAAACCATATCTTCTACAGTTATCATTTAAAAAATTCAGGGCATTTTGGAAAGAAGTTATCCTAAACCTTGATTCTTTACGTAAATGAAATGTTTTAGCTGTCATCCGGTTTTACAGTGTACTAGTGATTGAAACCATTTTGTACTGGGATTGGAAGTATGAAAAATATCTGTTGTCAAGATTGATCTGTCCAGGTTGCAGGGGGCTTGAGCCAACCATGTAGTTTTATTTTCCAGCTTGGAACCCAAGCTCTATACTATGTGCTGAAATGCGGGGGTGTACGGGGTGATAGGTTTTCGTAATGGCTTTCTGCAGATGCGCAAAGAACAAGCTGAGTACTTCAGAGACAGCGCCTTGAAACCTCTGCACCTAAAAGATTTTCAGAAGTGCTGTGGACAATATTTGTGTTAAAAGCTCTATTAAATCAGTGCACATTCTCTGTAAAGCAGGATATGAAAATGCCAAGAAAAACTCAATGAGGAACTTTAAATGTGATGTGAGAGGAATAATTTATAACCCAGTTAGGAAGGAAACAATCTCAATCTAAGGAGTTACTGCTCTTGAATTAAAATGGACTTGCTGGTAGTTTGAGAGATACGATGGGACCTATGATGGTCTGTTCTCATTTCAGTACCTTACTGTTCAAGTACTCAAAAACTAAATCATTGAGCCTTGTCATTAAGAACTTTATATCTCTGCTGGTTATTAAATTACCTTGCTGAATTGGTATGTTAGGTCTGGAATCCCATATTGAGGTTGTTTCTCTCGAACGTCTATTGTTTTTTCTCAACCACTTGACTCTCTGAATGTCCCCCATGTCTCTCCCTTTTCATTAACCCACACAGCTTTTAAAAAGAAATTATCATGCAAAACCAAAACTACGGGAGTTTCATACCCTTTGTGGACTGTGTGCAGCTGCATACCATAGGAGGAATGCAATTCCCACCTGTCATCGTCCTTTCTCAATGGAATATTAAATAAATAATCAAGCAAATCCCTGCTGAGGAACATACCACAAACTAAAGCTGCTTTGGACACATTTGTACATGCTGACTTTGAGAAAAATCCAGTATTTTTTCAGTGTGCACTTTAAATAAATACAGGTTGTACGTTAGGACAAAGGGTGACGCCGCCTGTTTGTTTAAGGCCATTTTCGAAGTTAAGGCAAATGTGAGGCGGAGGAAGGAGTCTGTGGTAGTCACCGGATCCCAAGAGGGGGAGCCTGTGAGTGTGCTAAGTGAGCGGCATTCTTTCACCCTTACGCTTTGCTTAAGGAGCTCTCTGGATGGATCGAGTGGAATAAAATTGTCTAAATGCAAAAAGCAATGGAAGAGAATTTACACTGCAACGCTTTTATTCTCAGTGAAACAGAGATGAGGCATAAAGCAAATTCTGGAGTAGGTAATGTGACCACTGTTTTACTTTAATGAGTAGAAAAATTGTTCCTCATAAAATAAAAATGAAAAACTTGATGAACTTATGACACCTCAGGTAATAACTAAATTTATGTTTATAAACCTAGATTTACTATTCAAAATCCCACTAGTAATTTTATATTTGATGAATTTCACTATTATTTTTATTGTATTATCAAATAGTTACTGTTTCTATTTTAAAGGTAAGGGAGAATACTACATAATTTACACATGTTTTTTAAAAAAATTTACACATGATTATGTAGAAGAAATATTCAGGAGCAAAATCATTATCCAGAATGTTTACATGTTGGTAGTAAGCTCAAAGCTACCAAAAAGGAGACAAATTCAAAAGAAGAAAAAAGGGAAGGAAGGAAAGAAGGAAGGAAGGAAGGATGGAAGGAAGGAAAAAGAAAGGAAGGAAGGAAGAAGGGAAGGGAGGAGGGAGGGAAGGAGGAGGGGAAGGAGAGAAAATTGCTTCCTGATCGATCACTTTTGGTTTGTCTATTTATTTAACTACAGTGCAGAGATAGTTAAAAGGACATACAAATAAATTATTTGGCTTTCAATACAGAGTACAAATTCCTACTTCTGCCTACTTCCACCTTCATATTTCTAACTAAGCATTCCCTCCCTGTCTGTAAAGCTGAAGGAAAAGAGGAAAAACAGAAAGCTTGAAAGAATAGCTAGAGGAAGTGGTAGAGAAAATCACATAAAATACTGAGCTGCACTTAATTAATTGCAAAAGGAGAGCGACCTAAGCCACTAAACGTGGATGCAGTTTCCCTCCGCATGGCTCATCAAGGGAGTGTGGGAGCAAAACGAGCGGATTCAGAATAACACGAAGCGGTCCCTCCATCTGAGGGAAAATGTGGAGAGGGTGCGCTGTGACCCGGGGAGACGGGCCCGCAGCCCGGGCCATGATTGACAGCAGGGGCAGAATGACACCCTTCATGCCATTTCTTGGAATTCTTTAAGTACCTTTCTCCTTGAAATAAAAATCAATTATTTTAACAAAGTCCTGTTCAGATGAGGATGTATAAACACTGAGCAGGTTCTTTTAAAGGTAACCATTAAAGCACTGTGATGAAGAATCAGGTTAAATTTTCAGAACTAAAACAATATTCAATGTTTTTCATCATCTTCAGAATGCGTACGTCCATCACTGGTGTTCTCCTCCTAAAATTACTGGTGGTTAATAAAGGAAAATCTTAGTAGATGAAAAATAATTTGCAAGCTGGCGCTTACTCAGAGGGTCTCACTGTGGAAAGATTGTCCACCACGTACCTATGAGAAGAGATGCCGTCAGAAGTTTGGGGTCGTATGGGCTCTTCCCACGGCCGTTTTCAAAATGCGAGTCCTCCAGTTTGAAAATGTTGTCCTGTGGGTTAAAAGGAAAGAGGAATTTCATATATTTACCAAAGGAAGTGCTTTTACTATGCCAGCTACCCAGAGAGAGGTTGAATAGTCACGTACTACAAGGAGTGTAAACTTCAGTGATGACAAAATGAATTACGTGGATCAAAACAGCTATTCTTGTCAAATATCTGCTTAGGGTGGCAGCTTTTAGTATCAGAGACCAAAGTGCAAGTCACAGTGTGCAAAGCTAAGGGACAAGGGGAGGCCAGGGAGGGAGAGAGTAGGCATTTTTTCAAACAGGTGTGCCAAGATCTATTGTAATGACTCTGGAAGAAATTCTTTTAAATTTAAATAAAGTGACCCATTTTCTTCCTTGATAAAGAAGAACACAGCATTCCACTCCAGTAGGCGCCTGGGATATTTTACACAGTTGTACTGTTTTTGTGGGTACTTTCCAGCAACAAGTGCTAGATAGCCAGTGCTGCTGCCTTTTCCCCACGCTGCCTGTTAGGATTTTGGGGCTCCAATGAAGCTGCTGAACTTTTAAGCAACATCGCAGCAGTCAGGTACCTGACCGAGTCCAGCCTTCTCTGCCCCCTAAAAGGAAGACATGGCACTGTGGGTGGGTGTGAGCCTGCTGGTGCCATCAGAGCACACGCACATTTGTATCCGGGAGAAGCCTACTGTGTTGGGTCCTGACACGCAGAGACAGGAAAGAACTTCTGACTGCATACAAAACTAAGCTGCAACCCGGAGCAGGATGGCGGCACACAGTGAGACAACACACACCTTGCTAAATATGTAGCCGATTTGCAGGACTAACTTCTGTAACCTGTGTGTGCCCGTGGAGTGCTTTTGGAAACATTTCCGAACATGCTTTTTAGACCCAGGTGCCCTGGGAATTAATTAGGGCAGAATATGTATGTTTTTTCCAGTAGACATTAACTTGTCCACAGCCTGAATTAAAATAGCTTTTTTGGCAGTTTCTCTACTATTCACATAAAAATATTTTTCTATCTTCTTAGAATAGTAAATGTTGTTCCTTTTATGGTCAGTAAGGATCACTGTATTTAACATTTAATATTCCTGGTGGAACTAATGGCAGGGTTTCAAATTATGACTCTTAAACCTCCTCTGAATTAGGGAGGAAACGAAAAGGGAAGCAGCCGGCAGTGTTCTCGCGTGTCAGCTCCCTGCGTGGATCCTGCGACGTGTCTAAAGTGCACACTGTGTGGTCACTCCTGGGATTCCTGGGAACTGTCCTAAGTTACAGCAGCAAGGGTGGTGAGCGGGCCCTAGCGCAACCAGGCCAGGACCCAAGGTGGATCTCTGGTTACCAATTCACATGTCTGAGCCTCTGGCCCCAAAAGCCAGGGTGCATAAGAGTATGTACCCTTAACGACTTACTACGAGGATTACAAAATTTATATGCGACATTTTTAATGTAGCAAAATAAAAAACGAATGTTATTTATTTTTATTATATTAATTATACCTATATCAAAATCATCCTGGAATAATATGAAAAATGAACACTCATGTTTATTGTCAAATTTCTAAACCTAATATGAAAGAAGTATTATTAAAGAGGTTTACATAAATTGAGAAATATTAAACTTGTCCCTACATACAATGTATCATCAATTCTTGAATGTGACAATTATCATGAAAATTGTTGACATATGTCAACTCATAGAAGGAACTTCTAATGACTATTTTGATATATATGTGTATTTCCATTAAAATTAGGAAACAGATAAGCTGAGGAAAAATATGCACTCTACTAAAACAAATCATAGGAAACGTTTTAAAAATTTTATATGTAGGAGTAAATTATGTTAGAAGGACGGAGAAAAGGTGGTGTGCTGGGAAATACTTTTCGAATGTTGCTACTATTTTTGTACTCATGCAACATTTTACAACACTGACAAATATAGTAGAGTTCTCCTTCAAAGAATGAGGCCCTAGTGCCTGGGATCATATGTCCAAGTTAATCAGAGAATGCCAAGGTAGACGAGAAGGACTTCCAGTCTCATGTAGTATTTGATTTACAATGTAAAGGTTTAGACTTCACAGGAAGAAAGGTTAAGCACATTGGTTATGGGTCAAGAAAGATGAAAACTATTCTTTGTCATGGTGTCAGGTAATATATTCAGACATTTCCTTCCTTATGTTCAAAAACTCCATAAATAAATACTAAGTTAATCGCCTCCTTTACAGATACCCAATATCTCTCTGCTCAGTGTAACTCTTACCCAAATCTATGACTGCCTACAGTGTAAATCTTTTATGTTCCCACATGATTCTGTAGAAGGACAAAGCAAATTGCATCTCCCTTCCAGCTCAGTCAGATGGGGGAATGGAATAAATGTAACCTTATTTCTGAATGCAGCAGTAAAATGGCATTTCTTATGCACTGATGTTTGTAGTGTAAAATTCCTACCCCTACTTGGGATCCAAAGTGCTGGAACTGGGCAGAGTGTTACCTGTGGCTTGGACTCTGGGCAGACCCCTAAATCCTCATTAAACCCAGATTCCTCCTCCGTAACAGGATGAGCAAGTCTCATAATTGATGTGAAGATACATTGAAACCATGCACATAAAATGGACTTTGTATACCTCCAAAAATCATCTCCCCGTTTCCAAAGTTTATATTTGCTACAGTAAAATCATTCTGTCTCACACTGATGGAAGTCTCTCACGCCACAGTGAAAATGGCTGCTTGTATTTTCATTAGTAAAAATTAAAGCAGACGTTAGTTCTATGTGAGTGCCTTAGCTTCCCCCAAGTACTAAGCATTCATCCCTCCCTTGGCAGGACGAGCGACAAGCTGAAAGAAGATTTTTGAAGAAAAGTATCATTTAATCTAGGAAAAGTAATTTTCTTCATGTGCCATTTTTGGAAAATGAGCATAGCTGCTAATTCATTAAAGTATTTTGTTGGGAGTTTAATAAAATACAAGAATACTAAGTAGACTATGTATTAATTTTAAAAAGGGAGCACTCTTTAGTATTTTTGTGTATTTATTGCTACTACTGTGAAGAGCTCTATTTCCCAGTGAATAATTCCTTAGACATGTGAGGCTATTGCCCTACTGTGAAAGAACTTGTGTTAATATAATTATTTGTTTACGACCTTACGTCCTCTTCCGTAATATATTGCATATTTCACTGGTTCTACTGAGAAAGCCTTTTGAATTCTGATTGCTACCCAATCACTTTCTGTTTTTGACAATGCTAGATCATTTACAAATAATAAGAGGGAAAATCCTAGGACCCGTGTACATGTTCTTTTGTTTGCTTGCTTCTTTTGAGATAGGATCTCGCTGTGCAGTCCAGGTTGGCTCCGAACTCACAGTGATCTGCCTCAGCCTTTGAGTGCTGGGATCCATGCACACTTTAAAAGCACATAGCTGCTGTGTCTGTCCTGAGCTGAAACAGTTTGCATTCTGTGTAATACCTAAACAAAACTCCGGCCACATGGACTCTAATTGCTTTAGCAGATACCCTGAACGTATCATGTAAGTTATTGCACCATATCTTGTTACATGATTGCATCAGTTTTCAACGACTATTTTTAGCTTTCAAGACTACTCTTTCTCTTTGTCTTTTGGATTTCCTGAATGTTATGAGGCGACGTACGGCATTAGAGGAAATAATAACTGTGCTGATGTCTAATCCAAAATCTTATAAATTATAAGTTGTTGGTGACATCATGGCAATAAATTTCCTGAATCTCAATCTTGTCCAAGTAATAAATTTTGGCAGCAATGTTGCAATTTTGCCTACTTTATTTAATGATTAAAACATCAGTGATGTTTAAAAAATGGGAGGAACGTAAAACTCATAATGTATGTGTAAGGGAATTAACGTTTTCTATGGGAAAAGACAAAAGTATGTGAAGCCTGTCGTGGGGGCAGTACGTTAAAATGCATATTTTATATGTTTTCAAATTTCTCTGGCCTTTTGCATGGAAGTTACTTTGAATAGTCAGGTACTTCCTGATTGTGTGCCTTTTCCACCTTTGCCCCCAGCCACTGCCCTCCCTTACTGACTCTCCAGCTCTAGGGATCACTCATTTTTCCTTGAGATTAAATTCAAATGTTGCTTCTGAGGAGAGCTCTGCAGAGATGGCTGCAGACCTCGCCTATTAGTTGTCTTTGTGTATCCTACTTAACAGCATCAACTATACGGGGCAAAATTCCTGACCTCTGCGAGAGCGGGCGTGAGGAGGTATCACAGGAAATACCTTGGCCTGCTGCATTTTCCCAAAGGAAATCCTTTTGTGGATCCAATTCATCTAAAATATTCTTGTCCTGAAAGTGTGACTCCGGGTAGATTTGCACTGTGCAATGCTATGTGGCCACGAGTCGCATCTCTTTATTTAATTCCACTTAATTAAAGAGGAAAACAACATTGCCCGGCAGCATGGGTGAGTCACATGTGGCTCATGGCTGCACTGCCACAGAGGCAAACAATGGACTCCTCCAGAGCGATGGAAATGTTCCACACAGGCCGCTGTGGCTCTGTAGCCCAAGTCCTCGATCTGCGGCAGCTCTGAGTTCAGGGCAGGCCCTATTCAATGTCCAAGGTCAGAGACTCGGACACCAGACTGCACTGGTAAAGGAAAAACCTTCATTTTATGCACTAAGAGAAAAATACCGAGCATTCATTGATTGAATTTCATTTTTTAAAGGTAGGTAATACGTGAAGATCGTACAGACCATTAACACAACCCCCGTGCTTTCTTTTTTGTCACTTTATTTTCCTTTCCCTAATCCACGCAGGCACATATTTTGCCTCTTGAGGTCATGACATCTTCATCGATTTCTCTTGCAGAAGAAAATGGTTTTTCTCTGGGACTTGTGTAGCGATCTGTTCCTCTCCTTCCCTTCAATCTTTTTGTAAATATTTCTTTTAACCTTTTCTTTCTCTCTCTTTCTTTTTCTTTCTTTCTTTCTTTCTTTCTTTCTTTCTTTCTTTCTTTCTTTCTTTCTTTCTTTCTTTCTTCCTTCCTTTCTTCC